CCAGCAGCTTGTGGAACTCCATGTTGCCTTGTCCCCAAGAGGGCTAAGGTTTCAGGGGTTCTACTCTAACCTGTTTACCATTCCCAGAAGTTATGAGGGTGTTTGTCCCATACTGAATCTAAATGTTCTGCACACCTTTCTTCAGGTATAAATATTCCACAGGGAATTGGTGAGGTCAGTTATTCATATCTTTCCAGTGCAATAAAAGTCTCCTGTTCTTTGTATAGAGTCCTTCCTTTTTACAGAGGCTGGTTTCATCCTTTCACCTTAACCAGGACATTTTGTTCCCCTTTCTCTGTTCTGCGCCTCACCATCACAGGAAGTTTTCTGTGGGGTGAGCTGTTTGAGTTTAGTCGCTGCCAACTGCCTCCCTTAGACTGACTAATGCTGTTTTTCTTCCATTTTTATTTAGACAAGCTTCGGTGACTAGGTGAAGCTTAAGGACAGGATTCTCTCTTTTTTGTGTCGAAACGTATTCAATCAGGTATTTTTCGTCTTGTGCTTTTCACTATCCGGTATTTTTTTTCTCAGATTTGCAAGGCTACTGCCTGGTCTTCTGTTTACATTTGCCAGGTTTTAACAGGTGGATGTTCAGACCTCTACTTATTCCAGTTTCAGCGGTCTCAGCTCTGCTCTGTTAGTCTGTGGTTTGTTGTGGGCCTGTATATTTCTTTTTGTCTGATGTCACCCACCTCTCAGTTGGATTACTTTTGGGTCTTCCCTACATCTCCGAATATCTTCTTGAGTCCCCTAATGAATGATTAAGAAAATATTTCTGATTAAATCAGGGTATACACAGTTTTAAATTTTTTTTGTTCAACCACAAGGATGTCCAATTCCTATCGGCCAACGCCCAGGACATGTAGTTCCGGGCGCCGAGCAGGTTTTTTTTTTTTTTTTTTCCTTAGCGCCCGCAGCAGGGCTCAACTGTCAGGTGGAAGCATTCAGGCAGCAGTGCTGCCGCCCGATTGCTTCCACACAGCCCACAATGTCAGCCTCTCCCCTACTATATGTCCCAGGCTCCGCTTGCCCATCTGCGGGCCCGAGACTGGTTTGGTGGGTGCCGCGGGGTGTGGTATAGGGGAGGGAGGAGGAGAGTGGACACATCCGCTCCCCTCCTTCTCATGATCCGGAAGTGATGTGACATCACTTCCGGGTTCCCGTTCGACAGATTCCCAGTCATTGAGGCCGGGAAAGAATGTAATGTGGTGCGATGTGCATCGCATTACATTTAGAGTAGTACAGGGGAAACATGCAGAGTCTTTTAGACCCTGCATGTCTCAAAAAAGAGAACCTGTCACCAAAATCCATAACATAGGGGACTTTGTCCTGTATGTGATTTAAAAAAAAAAAAAAAAAAATTGAATTTTTTTTTAAATGGAAGTTACACCCAAGCATATAACACCCCCAAATTTTTCAAGGCCCCCCACATATGTACGCACGCACAAACATAAAAGCACATACTCGGGCGCCTACACATGAAAACATGGATTGCGATACACGTATCGCCGCGCATGCAATAATTCTAGCACCTGACCACCTTTTGTACACTATACTGATGACCTATAAGGAGCTTTAAAAGTGTCGCCTATAGAAAATATAGGGTACTAAAGTTTGTTGCCGTTTCACGAGTACACGCAGATTTAAGGTTTGACATGTTGGATATCTATTTACTCGCTGCAAACTCGTCTTTTATATTTTACAAAAAAAAATTGGATAATTTTGCTTTTTGTGCCCTAAAATGAACTTAAGTGTATTTATTACTGAAATTTTGTGTTTCCTAGACCTTTGTGATATCATGTGACATAAAAATTTGGAACTACCGCTATTTTATTCTCTAGGATCTCTAAATTCAGAAAATATATAATGTTTGTGGGTTTTGTGTCATCTTCAGGCCTAAAACGAATTTTTAAACGTGTGCAAATAACGCAAAGACAGCTCTGGCAGCGAAAGGGATAAAGGATAAGTCCGACATTCCCCTTTCCTGAAAGCAGCCAATTGGAGCTCCCTACACTGCAAGGTCTTTCCCCCTCCCTGCTAGTCCCCGGATGCAGTGCTGGAGACAGGCAGGGAGGAGAGGAGGAGATAAACAACGTAATGTTAAAAATATTAAACGTTTAAGTTGCCATAAAGCCCCTTTTGTTTTTAAAAGCCCCAAACATTTCTTAAAGCAGATTTAGATACGTTTTTGGTTAAAAGTTATGCTTTTTTTTATCAGGACAAGTAGATTGGGACACCGATTTTAGTCCCTGGACAAGTAGTTTTTTCACAAATTTCAACACCCGTGAGCCAGCGGTTTGAGCGAAAAAAAAAAGAAAAATCCTCACATCCATACATGCTTTCTGAATGCAAGGATCCCCCTGCTGCGCTATTGTATTCTGACAGTGGAGTTCTGCACCCCAGCCATTGGCTGCAAGCGCTAATTGAATTCTGGAAAGGAGTACACACATGCTGAAAGTTGCCTGGTTCCTACTTTACCATAAAATCTATGCAGTTCATTAAGTGACACAGGTCCCAACCCTCTGTTCTTGTTTTCCTCTCCTCATATTGCTTGCTGCAAAACTCAGGCATGGGAGTGGGAGGGATTAAGCTGGACTGTTCAACAGCTCTGATTGGTTGCCAGTGTCCAATCTCCTAAAGGTAGCTGAATAATCCTATGTCTCTAAATATCTTCCCAGAGTGCCCTAAAGAAATAAAAAAAAAAAAAAAAAGAACATTATGGTAAGTCACAAATCCTGATTTTTAGAAGGCCATCAATGGCAGACTCCAGAGCTTTTCATTTGAATAAACCAATTTAATATGACACCTAAAAACGGCATGTTTTGCAAGCTACAGTAATGAATGGCACAAGAGACCATGCACTGGCCAAGCAGTCAAAACTGAAGTTGAGAGGAATAGAGACTGCAGGGCTGAGTTATCTTGTCAGAAGTAGGTATGTGACTGTAAAATCATATACAAATTATGAGAGGTTATTGACACAGTAAGACTTTATTGTGATTGACAGATTTGCTCACTTACAGTTAGTATAGAAAAGAATCGCCTCCCTTTTTAAAATCACATTTTTTTGCTTTGCAGCCTGCAATGAAGACAGACACCGTTTGTTTTATCCAGCTGTGTTTTATAAGGTGAAAAAAGTGAATGTCCTTTCTTGGCCTAGTCAGAGCCCAGACCTAAACCCCATTGAAAATCTGTGGAATTATTTGAAGACTGCAGTCCACAAATGATCCTCATCAAGCTTAACTGAACTTGGCAGTTCTGCAAAGAAGAGTGGGCAAATATTGCAAAGTTGGTAGAGATATATCCCAGCAGACTAAAGGCTGTAACTAAAGCAAAAGGTGGTTCAACAAAATACTGACACAAGGGGTGATCTTTTTTTCCCAACTCAGTGATCCTGTTTTTGATTTTTTGTTTTCTAACATGTTGGTGTTATATCTTTTACTTGGATGTTATAAAACACAGCTGGATAAAACAAAAATTGTGTCTATCTTCATTTCAGGCAGCAAAATGTGATCATTTTAAAGGAGGGTGATCATTTTAAAGGGGGGGTGATCCTTTCTATACCCACTGTAGGTATTCTGCAAATACTCTCTATAATATATGGTATCTTTTTTTTTTTTTTTTTTTTTTTTTACATCCCCACTCTGGGATTATCTTTAACCCCTGAAGTGGAGCTGTAAATTAAAATCTAAGACATAAGATGCGTGCACTTTTCCTAGCAAAACTGCATGAATGCAATCACTGCATGAATGTTTTTGCCCAATGTCTAATAATCACACCGGCGCATACATTAGTTCACGAGCCATCCTCCAGCTACAAAACCAGGATATGCTATGTGTGTTATAGAGGACAAAGACAATAACTTGTTAAACTACACAACTTTATTACATTTTGCTATGCTGCTTTTCGTTGTAGGTGCCCACTAAGTTTTCTTTCAGTTGTAATACACAGCCAACTTGCACAGAATATAAAAAGAAAAATTGTATATATGATATATTAAAGTGGGGCTTCAAACAAACGGATAAACACAAAGTTATAACTGAACTCCGGGAAAAGCAGATATTGGCTATATAAAAAAGTTATGTGTATTCTTACTTGAATATTGTTGAGCTTTGTGTATTTCTTGCTGTACAGTAATCCAGAGTGAAGCTGCCTCTGTGCAAGAGCTTCCTGTAATAAAAATCAGTCACTGCTGTTCAGTCTCCACGTGCAGGGTGACTGGTCTTGGATCTGCTTCTTCCTGTAGTTTTCTGCAGATAGGCTCCACTCACTGCAAGCTATCAGGCTCCACACACTGCTCTGCTCTCTGCACAGGCTATGTATAGCACAGTAATGACATCACTACTACTTATACAAGGTAATACCTGGGTTTGTGAAGGCATTTGAAGCATACAAAGTGAATGGATATACCTCGTAGCTATTGAGGAAAATATTTAAATGTAAGTTTTTATGACTTAAGTTCATGTACTTCTTGTACATTTTTATCATTTTCTTCAGACATTCTGATGATGCTCCTCAGCAGTGTACAGCTAGGCAGGTGATAACATTCTGTGTCGTCTCCTCGCCTGCAGTCTGCTTATCAAATTTTTAATTGCCATCAATACACTGACTCATTGCCCAATGAGCATACAAGTTACTAATGCTATAGAATTGAAGCAGAATATAGTAGACTCATGTTTATAATTGTGTAGTATGGTAGAAGTGTGGGATTTACTGGCTGAACTAGATGGAACAATAAATTTGATTATAACTGATATAAATTTAAACGGTATATTTAGTGAGTTGTAGAGTACCTTTTATGTGTACAATACTTATTTTTTTTTTCCCCCTCGAGATGAATTTCATGGATGTTTCATTAGTTGTACTCCTGCTGTATTTTAGCAGGTCTGAACTAACATATCAAGCTTTTGTAGTAGCACTGTTAAAATATGTATTTAAGGTAACATAGTATAGAAAAAGCCTATGTTGCGTATTTTAACTGAAAAGATCTATATGTTTTGTAGGAGATTTGAAATGGACCGAGACCCTGCAAATGCTCGTTACTGTGCTGAATGTGGGAAAATGCATCCCGCAGAAGAAGGAGATTTCTGGGCAGAGTCCAGCATGCTTGGGCTTAAAATCACATACTTTGCTTTGATGCAGGGCAAAGTGTTTGATATAACAGGTAAGCTGAACAGATAAAGGGATTTACATTATTTCTGTGTGGATCACCTATTCACAACTTTTCAACAAAATTAAATTATCTACTTGAGGACTGGCATGTCAAACCCTCTTCCTGTCTAGGCCATTTTTCAGTGCTGTGGTTGTTTGACAATTCCTTGGTCATGCAACGCTGTACCCCAATCAATTTTTTTTTAGACAGGTAGATCTTTCTTTTGGTGGTCTTTAATAACCACTGGGGTTTTTATTTTTTACTACATAAAAGAAAAAGGACCAATGCCAAAGTATCTGTTTCTCTCACTTTGTTATAAAGTAATGCAAATAAAATTGCAGGGCAATTTGAAAATCCTGAAATGACTCCTTTTTGAAGACCTATTTTTTTTGGCCACCCAATCACTTTTACAGTGCCCTGAGGATGGTGATAAATGGGTTACTGCCTATGCAGGATAAGGGAGGTGAGGGGTTATTATACAGGTCAGAGACTTGCATGTACTGTAGAGGGGTAGATGACAATATTTCTGGTACCGAATTACACTGGCTAGGCATCACAAACCTTTCTTTGCTCTCACACAGTGATTGGTGTGTGAGGAAAGTGAAAGCCAGCTGCTATTTATTGTTTACATTGTATGATGCTGTGATTGGTCACAGTAATCACATGGTACAGAGCCACTTTCAGTGGCTCTGTACTTTGGTTTAGTGATTTGCACTGTCCGATGGATGCAATGCATGCAATAACAAAATAAAAAAGTTTTAAAGTGACAGCCCACCCTGTAAAGTCAACTTTCTGTTTATGTACGGTGGGCAGACGGAAGGTGGTAATTTTGGGCATACATAGGTCTCTGCTGAAAGGATCTTTTTGTGAGGGTTGAGCTTGGCCTTACTCTTTCATGTCTCAAGCCTCCCTATGGGTTACTGGGGCCACCTGTTACATTAAAATCCAGTGGAGAGGAATAGGTGGGCAAGGTAAAGCAAAGCTTGACCTTTAGGCCTCGTATACATGGACAACTGAGGGATGGTAAGAATAGGCGGTCGAGCCGCATTTTGCTGCCCCTTGACCGTGGAGCTGCAAGTTAACACGGACAGCGGCACAGTTAAATTTTACCATCTGTCAGCCATTCAGGTGCATGGGACCAAGTTGCAACAGCGTGTAATGAACGCAGTTGTATCACGGTACTGTAGGCTTTCAGTGGTTTCCAAAGCCGGTGAGGAGGGGACATGTGGTCTCTAAGCTGTCTGTCAAATGCCTCTGCATTTGACAGGCAGCTTTCTCTGGAGAAAGGCTGGGCATTTACATATACCTTCTCTGGATTCTCTTTTGCAGATTGCATGTGTGGTTACTGGTGGTGCGTTTTTTTGTGATTGATGTAGTAGGTTTGTACAGCTCTAGCAACTAGTCAGTTCCTATTTTCATAGCTCATGCTAAAATATCTTGAATATGATTGGATGACATTCATAAATAAACTGATAACTTTATGAATTGTATAAATGTCAGTGTAGTTCCAGGAGCCAGGGGTGGCTTGAACCTTGTGGGACTAAATTCATACTATGCCAGCAGTTTTTAAAATGCCTGAATTCCTAGAGTTCAGTCTTTAAATTTTGTAAAATTTAATCTTAAGTCCTCATGGACGTTTTTACAGCTGCTGTTATTGGCTTTTGATGTTTTTTCTACAGCCAGTAAACTCCCCAGAATGTTATCCTACAGTATGTGTCAATGCGCATATAGACTGTAATCAAGTTTTTTTGGCTGGAAAAAAACCCCAGAACTAGTGGGTTTCTACAGCAGTTTTTTAGCTAAAAATGCTCTAACGCTGAAAAACTCGGTTAGTCGCGGCAAACCAGCGTTTTTGGACATTTTTTTTTTACCCAAAAGAAATTTTTTTTTTTTTTTTTTTTTTGGGGGGGTCATAAAAACCTCTAAAAAAAAAACGCAAATGCGGCTAAACGCTAATACAGTGCTAAAAAATGTTGAAAAACCCACGTTTTTAACGTGACTTTACACAGCTAACATTGTCAGCGCTATTAAAATGCTCAGTGTGCATGGAGCCTTAAGGCTAAGTTCATTTTTTTTTTTTCTCGGAATTCTTTGTTTAGACATGCATTTACAAAAGATGATGTCTGTTCTACAATACACATACCATATAAGCAGGAATTCTACAAGGAGCCAAAAAATAGCTTGCAAGAGTACAACCAAACAGAGGTTGTCCACTATTAGGTAACTCTAGTCAGGATATAAAGTGCATACGATGAGACCTGATAAGGCACCAAACAGATAATCTGGTTATTATTATTATATTACTGGCTTTATAGTGCCAACAGTTTGCTCAGCGCTTTACAATATAACGGGAGACAATACAGTTCAATACAAGAGGGTTAGGAGGGCCCTGCTCCTTGGAGCTTACAATCTAAGAGGGAGGGGCTAGTGGTACAAAAGGTAATAACTGTGGGGGATGGACTGGTAGGAAGAATAGAAGATTCCATTATTAGCTGAGGGCAGGATAGGCTTCCCTGAAGAGAGAGGTTTTCAGAGATTGCCTAAAAGTGAGCAGAGTAGGCGATAGTCTGATAAATTGGGGTAGAGAGTTCCAGAGGATGGGGGAAGCTCTGGAGACGTCTTGGAGATGAGCATGGGAGGAGGAGACAAGGGAGCTAGAGAGCAGGAGGTCATGGGAGGAGCGGAGAGTACGGTTTGGGTGATATTTAGAGACAAGGTTGGTGATGTAATTTGGGGCAGTGTTATAAATGGCTTTATATGTTATTAATGTTTTGAATTTTATCCGTTGGGCAATGGGAAGCCAGTGGAGGGATTGGCAGAGAGGGGTGGCAGATACAGAACGGTTAGTAAGGTGGATGGGTTTGGCAGCAGCATTCATGATAGACTGAAGAGGGGATAGCCTGCGATGAGGTAGGCCAATGAGGAGGGAGTTAAATAGTAAAGGCGAGATATAACAAGGGAGTGAATAAGTTGCTTAGTGGTTTCCGAGGTTAGGAACGGGTGTATCTTGGAGATGTTGTAGAGGTGAAGTCTACAAGATTTGGAGAGTGATTGGATTTGGGGCTGAAAGGACAGATGGGAGTCTAGGATTACACCTAGTACCCTGGCATGAGGGGAGGAACTGATGATTGTCTAATTGATCTTGATGGAGAAGTCAGGGGAGGGGGCTCGGGCTGAAGGGAATAGTATGAGCTCAGTTTTGGTAAAATTGAGTTTGAGGAAGTGGAGTGACATCCATGCCGATATGTCAGTAGGTTAGTAATGCGAGAGGAGACTGAAGGGGTGAGGTGAGGAATAGAAAGATTGATTTGTGTGTCATCAGCATAGAGATGGTACTTAAAGACATGGGAGTTTATTATTAGGTGACCAAGGGAGGAGGTGTAGATGGAGAAGAGAAGGGATCCAAGGACAGAAGTTTGAGGGACCCCTAAAGAAAGAGGGAGTGGAGTTGACAAGAGTTATAGGTAATGCTGAAGGAGCACTGCAATAGGTGGGAGGAGAACTCAGAGAGAGAGCAGAGTTTCGGAGGCCAGTAGAGTGGAGTTTTTTGAGGAGGGAATGGTCAACAGTATCAAAAGCCGCGCAGAGGACGAGTAGTAAGAGTATTGAATAGTGGCCATTGGTTTTAGCAGTTAGTAAATCATTAGTGAGTTTTAGTAGGGCAGTTTCAGAGGAGTGTAGTGAGCGAAAGCCAGACTGTAAAGGGTCAAGAAGGTTGTTGTCAGTGAGGTAGGAGCTCAGGCGATTCTCAAGTCTCAAGTTGTTCAGGTTGGTGTGGTCCAGGGAGGGCTTTTTAAGTATGGGAGTGATGTGTGCATGCTTTAGAGGGGAGGGGAAGGCACCGTTAGAGAGGGAGAGATTGAAAATGTGAGTGAGGAAGCATAGGATGGAAGAAGAGGGTGACCGTAGTATTTGTGAGGGGACAGGATCCAGGGGGCAGGTAATGAGACGGGCTTCTGAGAAAACCTTAGTGACCTCTTTGGTAGTAGCAAGGTCAAAAGAGGAAAGTGTTGAGGGAGGTCTAGTATAAGGTATGCTAAGTGGGATGGATGTCTGTGCAGTAGAGATGCCCCTACGAATTGTGTCAATCTTGTTTTTGAAATGATTCGCAATCTCTTAAGCAGTGAGTGAGTTACTGTGTGGAGGTGGAGAAAGCAGAGTTAAAAGTAGAGAAGAGAAGAGGACTGGATGACAAGGTATTAATAGGAGTGGCAAAGTAGGCTTGTTTGGCAGCATGGAGGGAGGAATTGTAGGTTAACCACTTGCCCTCCTGAGGATTTACCCCCCTTCCTGACCAGGCCTCTTTTTGCTACTCGGCGCTGCACTAATTCAACTGATTATTGTGCGGTCATGCAATGCTGTACCCAAACGAAATTTACGTCCTTTTTTTCACACAAATAGAGCTTTCTTTCGGTGGTATTTGATCACCTGTGCGCTTTTTATTTTTCACGCTATAAACAAAAAAAGACCAAAAATTTTGAAGAAAAACGATATTTTTTACTTTCAGCTATAAAAAAAATATATAGTAAACTCAAAGTTAGTTATAAATTTAGGCCAAAATGTATTCTGTTACATGTTTTTGGTAAAAAAAAAAATCCCAATAAGTGTATATTGATTGCTTTGTGTGAAAGTTATAGCGTCTACAAACTATGGTATAGATACTGCAATTTCCGCCATTTTTTTGCTATACAGCGCTGCGCTAGTTTAACGGACAATTGCGCGGTCATGCAATTCAGTACATAAATGAAATTTACATCCTTTTTTCCCCACAAATTGAGCTTTCTTTCGGTGGTATTTGATCGCCTGTGCATTTTTTATTTTTTTTTGCTGTAAAAAAAAAAAGGCTGACAATTTTGAGGAAAAAAAAAACAATATTTTGGACTTTTTATTATAAAACGTGTCCAGTAAAAAAAAATGTAAAAATCAAATTTAGTCATAAATTTCTGCCAAAATGCATTCTGCGACATGTTTTTGCTTAAAAAAAATCCCAATACGTGTAAATTGGTTTACGTGAAAGTAATAGCGTCTACAAATGGTGGGAAAGATACTGGGATTTTCTTTTTTATTATACTAATAATGGCGGCAATCAGCGACTTATGGCGGTGATCAGTGACTTATGGCGGACATTTTGACACTGGGGGGGAAATGACTTGGGGTCACTGACATCCCCAGTGACACCAATACAGTGATCAGTGCAAAAAAAAAAAAAAACACTGACACTGTACTAATGGCACTGGGGAGGAAGGGGTTAACTTCTATTAGGTAAAGAAAGGGTTAATTGTGTGAGGGGAGTGTTTTTTACTAGGGGGCAGGGGTGTGTACTTCACAGGAACACGTTGATCCCGAGAGATAGTCTTCTCTCAGGTTCAGCGTGCTCTGAACTGACAGCACGGTTGCATTGTTTACATTGCAGCTCTGCTATCTGTCAGTGATTACTTGTAATCGCCGGCACCCGGCGGGAAATGACCCACCGGGAACCGGTGACGGACACCCGCTGCCACGATCAGCGGGACGGGTAGGGCGGGCACGCGCTTGGTGCGCGCCCCCTACCTGTTTTGCACAGCGACGTTAAAAGATGGCGCTGTGTGCACAGGTGCCGCCCTGCCGCAGTAAAAAACACTGCGGCGGGTCGGCAATCGGTTAAGAAAGCAGATTTCTAAAGGGTGAATGCTTGCTGAGGTTTTACACCACAATCGCTCCAGATTTCTGGTGTCGTCAGCCTGCCACGGTTGTAATGGTCGGGGCCTGATACTTCGTGTAGTTAGAGGAGCAAGTGAGTCTAATGTGGATGAAAGTGAACGGTTGTAGACAGCAGTGGTCAGGGCAGGACAGGGGAGAGATTCTGTCATAGAGGCGGTCAGTTGCAGAGTAGAAAAGAGAAGCGTTAAAGTTGTGAAGGTTTCTGCAGGTAATTGTTTGCTGCTTGGAGGAATAGGTGTTTGAAGACGAGGACACTGTGAAGGTGATGACATTTGTGATCAGAGAGAGGAAAGGGGGTGTTTGTGAGGTTGTAGGGAGTGCAAAGATGGGAGAAAACAAGGTCTAATGTATTCCCATCAGTGTGAGCAATGAGATGAAATGCATTGCAAATGCACAATGTATGAGTTTTCATTTTATACTTGGGGAAACTACCTTGTTCCCTAAAACCATGGGTACAGGGAAACACCGCAAAAGACACTCGGGGGAGAAAAAAAGTAAAACTCTCCTGAGGAACATCCACACGTGTGGCCTCAACAAGGGGGTAGAGGGAGAACAGAGAGAGAAAAAAAAGGAGGGGGGGAGGAGATGTGGAGGGGGGCTGAGGGAAAGAGAAGGAAAAGTGATAACAGGGCCGTAGGTGGATCCAAGGGTTGGGAGGGGCGAAGAAGCACAAGGATGCTCCCTGCTCCAACTACTCCCCCTCCCTCGCAAATAAAAACAGACAAACATTGACACCCACTAGGTAAAGATAAGTTCACCTTTTGAATAAAATTGTGCACTCAAGGAGCACCAGAGTTTAAAAACAAATTGTGCAGCATAATGTAATTTTCATACCTGTAAGTGATCTCTGGCATCCCTGAAGCCTGACTGAGTAACTCCGATTGTTTGCACTCATAGTTTCATCATCACACAGTTAAACCTGTGTGCATGTGTGATTTATTTTTTCTTTAATTCTCCAATAATTCCTATAGCTCTGTATATTCTGCTTCATGTGAAAACATCTTTTTTTTTTTTTTTTTTTTTTTTGACGTCAACACTGTCAGCTACCACAGAGTTTCACTTTGTTTTTTTTTTTTGGACTTTGATACAGTAATATGACACAATTTATTTCATTCCTGTCTCTTTTTTTATAGAATGGGCAGGGTGCCAGCGTGTGGTAATCTCTCCAGACACTCATCGGGTCCCATATCACATTTCGTTTGGCTCAAAGAATTCAGTAAACACAGGACGCCAAAGGTTTGAATCATTTTATTGTATGGAGAATAGGGGATGGACAATAGGGGTGCTGTACAAATGTGAACCCCTGTTTTTTTTTTTTATGTTTTTTTCCACTTTTACCAAATTGGGATAACACTTTAGATTTGTTACATGTTTACCTTCACATAGCATAACTTATTTAGATTCTCTATTCTGGACCCTCAAGCAAGGAAAATCCTATATGGTTCTCTTTGTTCATGAGGGGTTGGGCAGCTATGTTTGCTGTAATTAACCCCGTCTGTATTGTGCAGGCAGATCTTTTATTATCAGTTGTATTTAGATTTAAACACTTAATAAAGGGTTAAAGATATGACTAGGCTTGTTGCATTGTATGTTAATGAAGACAGACTTGTGACAGACTCAATCTGACATTGTTCAATAAACCTTGCAGTCAGCTATGTCACCACCTCCTCAAACATATAGGGTGAGAAATATTTTTAAAACTTTTTCATGTGTGCTATGTGAATGGGAACACAAAGGGTTTTCTCAATTTTGACTGCAAAAGTGGAAATACAACTAAATTTTTTTTTTTTTTTTTTCCCCTGATATCGCTGATGGTGCTGTGGTGCCCCTTTTGCAGCTGCTGTTTAACACAGAAATCCATTCTTGGGTAGTTGAACCTCTTCTCATAGTAATAAATATTTGAAGCATTCTTCTTACATACTGTTGTCCTCATAACAGTCACTAAACACATGATGCCATTCTTAAAGTGATTGTACAAGTTCAGCTATTATATATAATTTTTTTAATTTTTTTAAATAAACGTAATACTTTTTGTGCACAGAGCAGTCCCAATCCTCCTCTGCTCAGGCAAGCCACTTTATGTGGGGGCACTCATGCTGGCTCACTTCCGAGCCCCCTCTGTGTGTTCATAGACACAATCTGGCTGCAGGAGCTAAAGACTCCCACTGCTGTGTGTCTAAGCCATTGATGGAAGAGAGAGAGCAGCGATGCTGCTCTTCTGCACAGCGCTGGAGCAACATCAAGATTTTTTTTTGGGGGGGGGGCTGCACATCAAATGTTTTTTTTTTACCTTAATGCATCTCCCATATTAAGGAGATTCACTCTCTCAATTCGTACTGTTTACCATTATTATCAGAAATAAAAGAAAATCCCACATTTTGGGTTATCCCCAGAAAAGTAATAGAGGGGAAATCTTCCAGTGGGCACACTAGTTCTGGCAACCTAGGGGTCCCCAAGGAATTCCCTTTAAAGGATAAGTTCACTTTTTAAAAACAAATAATAAATGTGCATTTTTTCAGGTAAAAAAATGTCCATTTATTTATTTTTTGGGATCCTCTAAAGCATTGCACCAGTGATCAGCGGATTGCTGGTGCCATGCAGGTCTGCAGCTGACTGTGTTAAATTGTCTGCTCATACGAGCACACAGAATAAACTGGCAAGAAGACTGAATGAATTCCTTCCCACTGAACATACGCATATATACAGCCTCATGGAAATGGGTCTTTATCTGTAGGGCTTGCATATATGTGCTGCTGTGTTTGTACTGCATAGAGAATTCGTTGTACCCGACCAGCTCTGCGTCTCATACTAACGATCGGGACAAGGACCTGTTCCCAATCACCTGATCACTGTGACAGCTTTTGATTGGCTATCACAGTGATCCGTCACTCTACAGCCTGCCCTTGTGTGTGTGTTTTGGGTTTTTTTTTCCTCCTCTTGAATGGGGAAAGAGATACTGCACATTGTAATTTTTTCTCCTTGCTAGAGGAGAAAATTGTAGACAAAGTGTGTGTGTAAAAAAAAAAAAAAAAAAAAAAAAAGTCCCTGACTGATTCTGAACTTGACCTTTTGACTCCAGTCTTAACCCTAAAGCTAGCTATACATAGAAATTTTCAGCAGGGACCAGCCAAATTTCTATCATGTATAGGCAGGCTGGTTGTACAAAAGTCAATTGACTTCTGTACAACCAACCTGTTGGGTTTAACCCGATCCATCAGTGCCACTGGCACTCATCAGTGTATTCATCAGCGTATTCTGCAGTCTCCCTACTCTCAGAATACAAATACACAGTGGGAGAATTCCCACATTGACAATAAATGTGTTGATGGGGGAATAAAATTTTTTTCCACCAAATGAAAACCTAGTTTTAGAAAAAAACAAACGTATAATTCACCTGGATATGCTAAGTAGTTGCAATGATATACACATTTTGTATACTAACACTTTAAAGTTGCAAAACTGTGTTCAGGCATTTAGGTCTGTTTTTACATTAATCATGAAGTGGTTAATAAGGTTTTTATATCAGATGCATTTTACAGAATAGTGGAGAATCTGAGTAATGCGGATGAATGCTACTTTGCAGAGTTTGTCTTTTTTGAAATGGTGGTTGTAAACCTTTACGTATACCCAATGAAGTGACTAGCCTCAGGTGATCCACAGAGATGTGAAACATAAAAAAAATCCTCCTACGTACAGGGGTTGGACAAAATTATGGAAACACCAGGTAAAACAGCACAATTGTTACATAAAATGGTGTTGGACTGCCTTTGGCATCCAAGATGGCCTAAATTCTCCTGGGAATAGACAAATATAAGTCTTGGATGGTGGATAATGGAATCTGATAACCACACTTCATGCAAAAAATCGTTCCAGGCCTCGCAGAGATGCCGGAGGCAGAAAACGAGCCCAAACCTTGTTCTCCAAAATTAACCATAGTGGCTCTATGATATTGAGGTGACTGCGGTGCCCAGGGAAAGTGTAAGACTTTGACTGCATACTCATCAAACCACGATGTGACAGCACCAGCTGTGTGAATCAGAGCATTATCATCTTGGTAAATGATGCTGTCTTTGGGAAACAATATCTGCACTATGGGGTGCACATGGCCGGCCAAAATGTGTACATAGTCACTAGCAGTGACTCTACCTTTCAAAGTGATGGGGCCTGCCGAATACCCTAGATATGGCTGCCCAAATCATGATCGCGCCATCTCCTTGCTTTACCTTTTGGCGCAAGACAGTTCTGGTCGTAAGCTTGGGACATTGTTTGCCAAACGTGTCCTGTGGTTGGGAACAGCGTGAAGCTCGATTCATCAGATCATATTACAGTCTTCCATTGATCAGTAGTCCACGATTTATAGGTGTTGCACAACACTTTCCTCTTCTGAGCATTAATATCAGTCACTCGCGGTTTGGCAATTACTGCCTGTGTAAGTTTTTGCTTATGGAGTTTCCACCGCACAATTTTTGTGGACACAGGCTTTGGAAGACTGAGATTGAGCTCTGCAGTCACTTTTGCAGCAGTTGTTTTCTTATTCCAGGTCACAATCCTGCGCAATGTCCTTTTTTTCTTTCGATTAGTTGACTGTGCTTATGCTTATCAGATGACGTTTCCCGTATATGCTGTCATAACCTTTGATACTGTACCTTACGACGCTGCAAATAAATTGGCAACTTCAGTCACAGAGGCACCAGCTAAGCAGGCACCAACCATTTGCCCTTTTTGAGACTCTGTAAACTCTGACACTCAGACTCCGTATTAATAGCAATACATGAAGTGAAAGACGAATGTGAGGCTTCCTACCTGTTACATCACTTCCGCTTTTAACGCAAAACATGTTGCCGGCACTTTCACACCTACAAATCATGGAGTTTTTCCATAGTTTTGTCCAACCCCCCTGTAAGTTGTACCTATTTATCTGTAGTCTTCTCCACATCAGTTCAAAGTGCAGAATTTATGCAGCTTTTTGTCTGAGTGTCCAGAAAGCCAGTCAAAACCAGATACCTCTGTGAGCGTGAATGAAAGTAGATTATGCACTTCTGTGAGTAAATGGCAGGTTTATTAATTTTACTGTTACTGGATGAGTCCTTTAAAAGAAGATGTTTAGCTTGATTGTAGCAATGCTCATTTTATATTGTAACAATTCCTATTACTTTGTACATTTTTTTTTTTTTTTTTTGCAGGGCTCCATCAGAAAGTAGCCCAACTTCGGTTGCCGATTTGCAGAATCTTTTGAACAGAATATTCCAGGGCTCTCCAGGTCAAATGCCCAATGGGAACATTTTCACCCCTCCACAACAACCCCCGCATGGAGCTCAGTCCCCTCCTGGACCATCTAAACCTGACTCTGCTTCCAAGAGTGACACAAAATCCAAACGGAAGAAGAAAATGAGGCGTCCTGTTCAGCGATGATCAACATACACTCTTATATTCCAGCTGCCTTGTAATCCGGGTGGGATGGCTGGGACATCAGTCGCACAACTCTTTCCTAACTATATAGTCTCCTGTGGTTTTAGGTCAGATCTTTGTGTGCTGACCAGAACCAAGCTGCCAAGGGCTTTCAATACCGTCTCTCTTTTTTTTTTTTCCCATTCACCTTGTACTCCTGTTGCAGTGGGGACCAGCAAAGCTTTCCATTGCAAGCACTTTTAACAAATTCACTGATAGAAAAGGTTTTTTTTTTTTTTCGTTGTTATTCCGAGAAACCTTTTGTTCTCATCATACCAAAGAAAGCTGTTGTAGACATTTTACTGGAAATATTGCAAAAAAAGACCTGGGCTCTGGTGTGAATAGAATGTATGAATGTACATTGCGCCAAGAAACCCAATTGCTCCCAGGATTATCTAGTGCTCTGGGACAATCTAATATAGTACTTCTTGCTTCAGTTATTATGTTATTAAGCTGAGGAACATGCTGTGAACAGTTTCAAGCATTAGGAAAGTGAAGGAGCAGATTTGTGTGTGTTTTTGTTTTTTCCCCTATAACATTGTTAGCGAGAAGACCTTTTTTTTTTTTTTCCATCCTGTTTTGACGTTTTTTTCCCATATTGTCTTGTATGCTTCTTATCTTCATTTTACAAAGAGGAGTTGGTCTGAAGGGATTCCAGTCACCTACAGTTTTTAGCTGCAAGAGGACTATCGTGACTGAAATTAATTCATTGGAAAACCTCAGCATAGGATCAAGGTAATTTTAAATTCCACACTTTTTTTCTGATACACTTGTATGTAACACAGGGCAGGTAAATAATCAGCTGAGCTGTTGGAGTATGTGTAGGAGCAGAATTGTGGTAACATTTGTCCTCCAGTGGATTCTTCATAGCAATAGTCTATCAGATGGGAATCTTCACCTCCC